ACATAGTAAAAAGAAGTGCGATTTGTGGTTTTACGGCGTGTGGGAACTCGACATGCACAGGGCGCAGCCCACGGCGCATCTCACGCATCTCAGCACAGGAAATTCTCGTCCAAGGTTTGTCAGGGTAGTATTACTTTGTACGGTGTCCTCCCTTCCTCCGTGTGTTATCCAGACAGACGCCTTTGTTGTCACCTGCCGCACTGCCGTTAGCAATTTTTGTGTCGTGCAAAAAAATAAGGTTTGTCTTTGTGCGATCGACCCATCCAACAGGCCCAGAACAAGGGATCCAGGAGAGGGCATCCAGAACGGGGAGGCATGCCAGCAGGTGAGCAGGTGAGCAGGTGAGCCAGTAAGCAGGTAAGCAGGGGCGGCGCAGTGGTTTTTGCTTGTTGGAACGGAGTTTTCACTCTTGGTCATCAGTTTTAGGGGTTGCTCGTCTCGAAATTTGCGTCCTATTTTGGGTTGAGTAGTGGATGCAGTCCAGAACTTTTGAGAAGAGTTAGCATGAAGGAAAACTGAAAAGGAAATATATGTATAAAAAACATCATACAATGTAGAGAAACGCTTGTTACGACATAGGCCGGAATGCTCCTACGCTCCGTACCAACCCAAAAGAAAACATGCTCCTCTGCTTGAATAAAGTGACCAAACGAGACGGCGCTGCGACTTAATTCCACATTGCCAGCTGTGTGTTTTCCTGCTCGCGGTGCCTCTCCACTGTTTTTTGTTTTTAAACTTTGGGTCCACCCCTCCCTCCCTCCACGAGCTGACGCGGCCTCCTCGTTTTAGTGGAGAAGCCCTCTTCTTATTTCCAATCCCGCCGACCCAGGGGTGGCATCAGTTTGCAGTCTTAATACGTCGTAAAGGAGTGCCGGGCCAAGAGCAATGCCAAGCCTGTGGTGGATGAGTCTATTTTGCTAGCCTCGGACAGAAGACGCTTATTGTTTGGAGGACCTGCAAGGTGCAAAAGGAGACACAGCATACGAAATACATTTTGGGGTAGATTTATGTTTTGTTTTTATGCTTTTGATATTCCGTGGAAAGAAGAATACGACGGAAACGGAGATGTGGAAACGACACGTAGTAACAGAATGAAAACGACAAACAAGACGATAGCTTTGCAAAATAGGCAAGAATACGCAAAACACACTCCTCGTAATGATAGAGGAAAGAATGACACCACACCACAATAAGATCGGCAATATCGGATTAGCCTTTTACACAACGGTGCGCATTATCATCTGCAGCGCGCATTTTTACATGGGCTTTTTGACTTTGAATTTGTGCAACGTCTTGGCAGCTTCTGTGCCCGTTTTCAGTCATCGCCAAGCTCGTGAAACTAGTCGTGAAAAAGACAAAACGGGAGAGGGATACGAGAGGAGAGGGAAGTAAAGTATCCGTACCATGATCTCCCCCTCCACCCGGCACTCGGCTGCCCGGTATCCACAAAAACGCCGGCGCTCAATCACTGCGCACCAAACAGAAGAGATTCAGAGTCAGACCAAAAATCGGTCAAAAAAGACCGACACAAGACGTAGCCGTAATCTCGGAGAGGGGAAGCAGACACGCAACAATAAAACGAACAGAACAAGAACAAAACGGTTGTCTTGCATGCCCCCTCTTTGGAACCAATCTTTGGACAAGTACGACACATTCCCTACGGAGAAGGTTCTTTCTTTTGGTCCTTTCTCGCTGAACCGAACGCGATTGCTCGCGTCTATAAGCCAGACTTGTGCCATCCACAAGTCCGGCGCGTCTGGGTCAGGTTGTGGGTGTTTGCCATGTTAATTTGCACCCAGACCGCACGGAAGCACGACAATAACATGGGCATGCTCCATGCTGGATAAGACAGACACATAAATCACTTGATATGCTCTGTGCACCCTATGCCTTACTCGGATACGATTTACAATATACGTTATATGCAGTGCAGCCAGCTACCCCCGAATGATGCTCAATGTGTGGCAAATCAATGCCGATCCATCCAGCGGAGTCTCCCTTTTCGTATTTTCTCTCACCGAATATCGTCTTCCGTTTCTGGTTATTCGCCGCTTGCCTGCCGCTTTATGTGGTGAGCCAAAGTGCGACTGGTCTTGTCGTCTTCACGTCTTGTCGTGAAAAAGGTTCGCAATGGGTGTGTGGGCGATGTATCCAGCAACGTCGTACGGCACAGATACGGTCGTTACGAGCAATATGGACTTTGCACAGCCCAGTTGCAATTTACTATTCCACTCTAGCGGGCCGTTCATTTGAAAGGGAAAGACCGTTCTTCCGAATACAAAAATATGACGTCTATTTGTAAAAACACCAAAATGGAAGGCCCGGGAAGAGGAGCCTGCCTCCAAGGGCTTGGCCTCAATACGTCGACATACATCCGGTCGCAACTCTTGGCATGATGCATCGCCGGGAGCAGCAACAGTGTATATACACGAGGCAAAATAGGCTCTGTACTATATTCGATACTACAAAATATCGTGATTACGTCGCACGGCCTACTCTGTTATCTGTAAGGGCATAATGGAGTCTTACACCTTACGGTGAACCGTGAGGATATGCTTCAGGCAAAGACAAAAGATGCACGGTGATAGACAGTGGGAGGGCACGAAGGTAGGATGGTGGCTAGACTCTTCGGCCCTTTTGCAACGCGAGGACGGAGATGGAGATTAAGTCGGTACTCCGTACGACCAACAACGTATATTACATTGGGCTGATAAAGATGAGAATGGCAACTGTGTTGAAGGGTGGGTGCGACGCAGTGATTCAAGCACGCGACGTACTGGATCTGGCTTACGTTCTTCGATTTCTGTTCTCCGCTTCTCTGTTTTCCGTTTCCTGTCCGTTCACCCGTCTCCGCTGTCTTTGCCCTTGTCCAGAAAGTACTGTCATCTCTGGTTCATGGTTCGGAATGTGGATGCGGATTGCGTGCTGGAGAAGAAAGAAAAGAAAAAAAATAGGCGGAGAGGATGACCAAATGAAGACACTTAGCGGTCTGTACGAAATATTGATAATCGAGATGAGAGGGAAAGGTAACGAAGAGGATGGTCTAGAGTCTGGGCCCTGTAGAAGCTTTCAACGATGCGAAATAGGGCTCCAGTTTGCCATGTGTCCTTCCTTTGTTCGTCCCCGTTTTTAGTAAAAACAAAATCCCTTCGGAGATGAAATCAGGACTTTGTAGATACACTCCGTAGGCTTTGGAGAAAGTGGACATATGAAAGTGACCAAGGAGGTGGACAAAAGGAGAAGACAGGACGACTCCATGCAGTTGGGCGTCAAGTCACGAGATACCTGAATGCCTGCAACTTGAACAGTTCTCCTCTTGACACTTCTTGGCTCTCTGTGCCAAGGTGCAAGCAACGATGCTTCTCTGCAAGGAGCATGTGAACAGAAATGCAATGAACTGCACCGCAACAAAAGACAGAGGTTGCCGTCGCAAGATGTGATGTGAATGTGATGCACGACACTCTTCAAACGGAGTACATTGTAAGTACTCCATATTCCAGGAAAAAGGGGCGAGGGCGAGACGCCAGAGGGACATACGAAGGACATACGACGACCATGATGCAGAGTGGAGAGAGAGGGATACAAGGGCGAAGGAGCAACAAAAATAGAAGCAAGATGGGACGCGCATTACGTGTTTTATGGTGACCATTCCAAGCCATTGCCCCGTCATTCGTGCTGGCGTCATCGTGGCCTCCGTCTCGTCCGCCGTCCAAGCCTAACCGCCAACGTGGATAGAGTTAAAATTGGCGATGACGACGCCTTTGCCCTGAATCAGGGGAAAGGAGAAGACGAGCACGGCCACCACTGGAGGTGAGCAGTCTCTCCCTCCACCTCAATACATCGTACACTCACCTTTGCCATCTGGTCGACGCCCAGAGAATAAAGGAGCTAGCGGGCGTCTACTGGTATGTTCCTCGCCAGTCGATGGCACTGTTGGCTGCTCACCCTGTATCTGAGGCGTCGTCACATGTCTCTCGTTACGAGGCCGTTCGGTGGGCAAGCTGCTCCCGTGGAATGGCCTCCGACGGCGGTTGATTGCCAAACAGCATCCGCATCCGTCTGGTAAATCCGTATCTTCATTGTTCTCCCTGTAACTACAATTCTGGTACTGGACGATCGGTTCTGGACGCCCGGATTGACTGACGCGGCCTCTTCTCGTTGCCCTTGATCCTGAGAAGTGTACCATCTCCTCAAAGAAGAACAGGAGATGTGAGATGTGATCTGCATGGGGTCGTCGCCATGGGTCGTTTGGGCTTGAGCTGTTTGTGACTACTGTACGGAATCTATCGTTTCCTGTGACACTCTTGGACACTGGTTCAATTACTCTTTATGAACACACCCCAAACGGCGTATGGTGCTTGTCCTCGCTTTGCATTTCCCTACGAAGTGTTTTATATTTGCTTCATTTATCGATGACCATCTGCCTGAGAAGAGTTATGTCGTCATTTCTAATTTGTTTCGGTGCTGTCTGTACCGGTTTCCATTGCCAAAGGGTTGCCGTCTACTATACAGTAATGAAAGTGGGTGAGGCATGTACATGCGAATGCAAATGCCAATGCGGAACGGAAGAGGCTCTATTGTGCCTCCCGTCTTTTCCTTCCGTGCCCACTTGTCCCATCCCTTTTGGGCATATATTAATATATTAATTGCATGCGTAATTGCACATACTCAATAGAGAGAAGAAGAAGAAGAGAACAAAAAGCTCCGAACCGGGAAAGCGGAGATTTGGAGAGTAATTCCAGGCGAGAGATCAAGACAAACAGTTGGCCGATGCAGTGCACGTACGGTTGGTTGCCGCCGAACAAAAAAAGGTCCTTTGGTCCCGGGCGCGTGCGGTGCCGACAAAGCGTGACCTCGTGAGAAAGTTCGAAATTGCAAAGGGACTGGATGTTTGCACTCGATAAGCGAGGAGCAACGGTGCGTCTCGCCCGAAAGGAATGAGAAGGAGAGGAGGCGACAGAATGGTTGACTGGACTGACTCGCCGTGCACTCCATTCATCCTAATGAATGCAGAGTAGACGGGGGAAGGCGGACACAACGGACGACGGCTCCAACGGGCGTAAAATGCGAGTTACCAAAACGTCTCGACTGTGTTTGTGCTCTTCTGCCCCCTCCCTGAATGCCTGACAGGTCTGTTTGGCGCTGTTTGAGGAAGGTTCATTCGTCTGTGGTGGCACAGGTCTCGCTTCGTGCAATGCAGCCACCCTTTTCTCTCCCCTCTCTGGCCGCATTCTGTCTGAGTACCAACATCTTGTCAGATCTCGGGGGTCGCTGATCGTGTCCGGTTCCCAACTCCTTCCCGTCTCCCGCGCCCGTCTCATCCGTTGTCTCGATCGACTCGCTCGCGAGTCGTCGATTGCTGCCGCGTCCTGTTCCGGCCGTGTAAATGCTTCCCTTTGGTCGATCCCTTTTCGAGGCATGCCAACAGTCGGACAGACCATGTCGTGCGTCCGTGGCAGGTACATTTTGAGTGTGGCGTTTTTTCGCTTGTTTTTGTCTGTATGCTGTGCTACCTCCAGGTTTCTTTCTTTTGAAAAAGACAATATAAAGTCTCCGCGCACGTTGCACAGCAGGAACGAGGCGCAACGGAACAGAATAAATTGGCACAGGCCAGACGGGGACATGACAGGTGAGAAATTGAGTTGAAACGCTCCGTTCTGTCGACAAAAGCCGGCAAAATACGCAGACAGCCAACGACATGCTGCAGTTCGAGGCCACGGCAGAGGACGATACACGTAGTTGCATTCTCTGCTGTCAGCCGCCGACCGTCTGCCGCCGGCCGCTGGCCGCCGGCCGTGTTTTGTGTTGTGGTCGGTCCCTCGTCAAATAAGGCCGTAAGGTTCGGGACGGTTCGGGCAACTCTGTTTTCTTATTCTGTCTCTTTCCGGCCTCTCGTCTTTTCGTTATTGTCCTCGCTTTGTACCCGTCGTTTCCCGTCGTTTATGTTTCAGCCTGTCTTCGTCTCTCGAACCTGTTGTACAGAGACACTGCAGATGTGGCGGAGAAGAAGACGGAGAAAGAAAGAAGGTCTAAAGATACAGCGAAACAAAGAAATAAAGAGAGAGTTTGAAATAGGCAACGACGTACGAAACCGTGGCCAACAGCACCTGTTAACCGCAGGCTCAGTCTCACCGTTTTTCTTTTAATTTTCCTTGACTCTCAAGTTCCTTGACATCAAAGACAAAACACAGACGACCGGCACTCGGTAGATTCGACGCCGATGCAGCGAGAAGACGCGAGCTGCCAAGACTGCCCAGAGGCGAGATGAGAGGAGATTGGGCGGGATGAAGGATGAAGTGGGGAGGGTATCTCGAAGCCGTGAAAAGTGAAAAAGAAAGTGACAATCGTCCAAGGCACGTCACACGGGATACATGCAAGACAATACACAGAAATACCAGACAAATGCGCATGCGCTCATGCACGGCATTTTCTTTTGTCTTTGGCACGGTGGCGTCGATGTTGTCACGTTTTCCGTTGACTGTCATGCTGTACTATTGTAGCACTGTTGTGTGCTTCTCTCAATGACTTGCAGCGGATGAGGAGAGTCGCGTCCGAGCTCGGGCGGTTCGAACCGCTGGTGCAAGGCAGTTCATCGTTTGCTGACTGTAGCCCATGTGTCCTTCCTAACAATCGCACCGCCCGTACCACCGGGGGAAAGCCACCATGTCGCGGACGGTCGGCACGCCTGTCAGATAGCAGAGGAGTCGGTCCAAGCCTACGCCGAAGCCGCCGTGCGGAGGGCAGCCCCAACGGCGGAGGTCGACATACCAGTCGAGCCCGTTGCCTCCGCCAGACGAGGCGTCAGCCTCACCTACTTCGCCGTCACGGTGTCTTTCCTGCTCCGCTGGTACTGGCATCCCCCGGGCCCGCATGGTGGCCACGAGCTGGTCCAGCCGATGCTCACGCATGGACCCGCCGGCGATCTCGCAGAATTCAGGCACCAGCAAGTCAAAGCAGTCGACCGTATCGGCCGATGCGTCTGCGGATCCTTGTGCGTCCGTGGGCAGCATGTAAAATGCCTTACTGGCGCGCGGGTAGTGGGTGACAAACACAGGTGCAGCCTCGGGCCCGCCGACGACGCGCGCCAGGTACCGCTCGTGCTCCGTCATGAGGCCCATCTCCCAAGCCGGCGTAAATTCGAATGTGCCGGTCGGCGCGTCACTCAAGATGCGCAGGGCCTCGGCGTATGTGATGCGCGGCCACGGCGCGGCCGACAGCAGGCCCGACCAGCGCGTCTCGAGATCCACTGCGTCCTCGTCGTTGTCGTGGGCCTTGGACTTGGCCGACGAGGCAGCCGCCACCAGTTCCGTGTACGGCCGGCCGCCACGGTTCTCGGTGGCCACATGGCGCAACATGTCCTCCACCAGGTCCATGACGCCGTCCAGCCGGTCCACAAAGCTCATCTCGGCCTCCAGCATGTAGAACTCGCTCAGGTGCCGCGGCGTGTCGTTCGCTTCGGCGCGGAATGTCGGCGACAGCGTCCAGACATTGCCGAGCGACTGCGCCAGCGCCTCCAAGTGGAGCTGTGTCGACACGGTCAAGTACTTTGGCGAGCGGAAGAAGTGGCTCTCTTCATTGTCGGGCGAGGTCTCCGTTGTCGTCGACGACGACGACGACGACGGGCCCGCAGTCACGGTAAACACCTCGCCCGCCCCCTCGCAATCCGACGACGTGATCAGTGGCGGGTGCGTCTGCACAAACGCCCGCTCTGCAAAGAACCGGTTCAGCGACGCCACCACGTCCGACCGGAACCGCAGCAGCGTCGTGTTCAGGGGGATGCGCGGCCGCAGGTGCGGCAATGTCCGCAAAAACTCGGGGGTCTGGTACTTTTTCTGGATCGGAAACGTCTTGGCGTCCGAGGGCCCGGCCACCTGCAACGCCGTGACGTGCAGCTCATGGCTCTGGCCGGCACCGGGTGACGGTGTCCAGGCGCCTTCCAAGCGGACGGCAGAGCCATTGGTGATGGGCGCTTCACCCACGTTCGCCCCCGCTGATGCGGCCAGCAGCTCTGCCGGCACTACGGCCTGCATGGCTGCCAGAGACGACCCGTCGCCGAGCGTGACAAAGGTGTACTTCTTCATCGTGCGCACGGACCGGACGAAGCCATGGACAACGACGCCCGGGACGGCTTCGGCCGGCGCCCATTCGAGAAAGCCGGCGACTGATGTCGGGGTGTCGGAGGCGAGAGACGATTGTGCGGCCCGCAGACAACGCTGCAGTGAGAACGAGCAAGAGAATAAAAGCGGCTGCCGGGATCGTGCGGAAAGGCGTCTTGGCCGGGGCCGGGTAAAGGTTGTGGAGGAGGACGAGGACGATGAGGGTATTGAGGTTATCGTTCGTGCTGCGGCTGCAGACGAGCACGCCGTAGCTGCAAAGGACGCAGAAGATGCCCCTAGAGGGGCCGTCCGTAGTGTAGAGGAGATCCGGGTCCGCATTGTGCCAACTGGTCAGAACACGAAGCTCAAGAGCTGCCGCAGATGTGTGAATCATCAGTCTGACGTTTTGGCAGCTATGATGCATTGGTGGTACTTTCCATAGCGCAAGAGCTCCAAAATTATTCTGCCGTGTTTTTCCGCCTTGCGTTGGCACATCGGGCAGGAACGATAGGTTGGTGCTTGCAGCTATCCCCTGGCACCTGCCCAATGCGAACGCTAACAACACGCCAAACGCGCCTTCCTAGTTGTGACACGACACGGCACGTTCCGTGAGGCCTTCCCGTCGCGAGCTTGACCTGACAACGCGGGAAAGCACGTCGGTGACAGCCATCCCATCTGCTGACAATGCCAAATGCACAGTATCTTACATTCTCATCTTTTTTGACTCCTCCCCCAGCTTCCTCGGCTCCCTCTTTCCTTGAGAGGTCTCACGGCGGACCCGCCACACTGCCGCGCGGTATGTGATCGCCCGCGCCAAGTGGCCGGGTAGCAACGCCCATGGAGATCCCATCCGATCGTCTTGCCGTTCGTGATGTTTCTGGGGAACGGCATATGTTGTCTGCGCTTTACTTTTCAGCTCACTTGGTAGTCCAATCTACAGCGCTAGCCCCGCTTTTCTTGCTCATGGTTCCATTTCTCCGTTTGGCGAGCCGCGTTTGTTGCCTGTCAGCCTGCTTTGCTTGCCTTGTCATATTGGCCAATCGATCGGTAACTCTAGGATGCCTCCGACGTCTGTCGTGTCTTGGACGCTGGTATTCGCATCCTGATTGTTTAGAGGCTCATGGGCATTTTCAGCCGTCGATATCCCAGGGTAGAATGTATCTTGAAGGCGTATTTTGTACAATGTAATGCTACAAGCTCACCTTTGTGTCCTTCGCTTTTGCTCGTCACATGCCTCTAGGCCCCACCAAGTTACCGGATCGTGTCTGTTCCGAGCTTGAGAATGTCCCGGCAGACGACCCAATTGGCCAAGAATTGATCAAGTGGGCGGCCGTTCTATTCCCATTCTATCCCTTTCCCCTTTTCCTCACGCCCCTCCAATTCTGTTATCAAGGTATTTTCACTTTTGTTCGATACATTCCATTTCATGGCTTCTTTTTTTTTTTTCGTTTTTTTTTTTTTTTTTTCCTCTTCCAACATACGACTGTATCGAAGTGGTATGTCACATTCCAGGCAGTGCTGGTTTGCCCGCTCCATGCAACCTTTGATCTAGGCTACGACAGAAGAAAAGAAACGCGGAAGAAGAAAAGCATAGAAATGCTGAGAACGATGGCCTGGTCTGATTGATGAGCACGCATTTGATTGTGCGATCAGTTATCAGAAGATACTGCCCCAAGAATGCTGTGAGCATAGTGTGGCTTCTTTGTTTTTCAGTCGTATTCTGATACGTTATTATGCAGTCCCTAACACAACGTATTTTTAGACATACCTGGGAACCCTCTTGCAAACAAACGTGCTTTCACTTGTTTCTGATTTCTTTTTTACATTGTAGTTTCTCCTCCCTTTACGCTCATTCTCACCCCACACAATTCTCAGCTGGCCTGACCAAACGTGACCCCACTGATAAACGCCTCGCAAGTCGACTCGCACGAATCATGCCCGTTCGCAAGCTCATACCGTTTTTGGAACGGCAAAACTTCACAGCTTTATTTCTACTCTCGTCCCCTTCCTTTCAGATGCAACAGAACATCCAACGTCTATTGTTTGTCCCGTTGATCGCGTTCGTGTCGGCCCCGGGGCTGCAATCCGTCCCAACCGGTGAGAAATGGTCTGTCTCGCCCGGTACCGTCGGTGTCAATAAGGGCCTTATTTGCCTGTGCATGGGTTTGAACTTCTATTCCTGGAGTGACTTCCGTCCACTTAAAGATTGTCACTTCTATTGCTACAATTCAGCCGGAGTCGACAGTGTCTCTTTGACAGTGTCTATCAGTGGCCCCTTCCCCTCGGATTTTGTTCTGCTCTGACTCCCAAGAGGTGTAATCACTCACCTTTCCCTGGCTGTTTCGGCTCGGCATGTTTGTTGCCCAGAC